AAGAGAGTGGTGAGTGGTAATTGGCTGTAGGTTGCACTAGTGCATTTTAAACTTTCGGCATGCGAACATTAGAAAACATTACTTGAGGGTTCAGAAGCTGAAAGTAAGTTTCACATAATGGCCACAAGGATACAATCAAATTACAACAGGAAAGCAGTTGCAATCAAACTACAACATGATTCCATTGGGAAAGAAGATGAAACCAATCTGATGATCAAAATGGACTTGAGTGCATGAAAAAGTGAGCAAAACAAGTACTGGTTATTTGTCTAGCTCGACATCATTGAATGATCTATTGACTGGAGTGCTTGATTGGCAAAGTAACGGACGTCAACATCTGGGTCGTCACTGAGCTCAACTAAACATGGACGAATTGTCTTCTCCACCACCTATGGCAGTAATTCACAGAAAAAGAAACGAATTAGAAATGATGGAAACCAAATAGTATATATGCCTCTGTTAAAGTGGGAAGTAGGAATGTCAAAGTTTGCTTAAGGAGATAAAGTAAACACTTACAGACTGGTCAACTATAGAAATGAGTGACTGCAAAACTTTGGCCACATTGAACTTAATGTTGGGTACCCTGTAGAGGAAAATCCAATCAAGCTATCAGAAACCACCTTATTTAGATGACAGATTACCTATTAATTTAGTAAGCAGAATACCTGTCCTTTGATAGATTGATGACCGCTGGTAAAAGTCTAGAACATGTTATTTCTGAGCCCATAACAGGGGCAAGGAGAGAAATGGCACCTAGGACGGTCATCCGATATAGATAGTGTGGATTGTTGGTCATCTCTAGTACCTATCCAGATAGCATACCAGAATTTTAGAAAATAGCAGAGAAAGAACAAAATGCAAACCAGCTGAGGGAGAGAAACATGCTGGCACAAGGCAGAACTCAAACAGAATTACAAGAATAAATGTGGCATGGATTTAACTTGGATTGAAGTAAGGAAGTATTCACTATTCAGATAACCAAAGGGAGGCATAAATTATTTATTGGTCAGAAAAAGACATCACAAACCTGTGGAATTATGTGTTGCATTGCCCACTCTGGTCCTAATTCTTCAGCAAGTCTCTTTAAATTGTTAGCAGCTGCATCACGGATTGTGTATACCTGCAACCATAGATAATAATTCTTAAAATTAACCACTACACAAATTTGGAAAAAGTATTCATTAAATTTATAAAAAAATGAAAAAATAAACAAGCAATTAACCCTTTAAATTTATAGCTATTATCATGGAAGATACATGAACAAACCTTATCTTGTAACCACTGCATGCAAAGGGCACCAAGTTTATTATTGAAAAATCCTACACCCAACTGACTTGCCAATGATGGTATATACTCAATTATTGCAAGCCTGACTCTCCAGTGTCTATCCTCCGCAAGTTCAACAATGGCCGGTAATAAGGATTGGGACAATAGATCAATTCCAATAACCTGCCAGAAAAAATTATGTAAAACTTAAAGATCCTAGAGGAAATCTGTTAACATGTACGTCAGAGTTGAAAATAGAACCCAACAATATTATGCATGCTTTCACTTTGATAGCCCATACCAGATCTATGAGCCAAGATAGGGCATTCTGTTCCATTCAAGTTGAAGATTTTTAATGAAAACAAAGGGGGAATGGCTTTCAAATGGGCAAACTAGGTGCACAGAAGGCTAAAGTGAAGCCACTACAGCTACCAAACCTGATTCACTTGATCAAGCTTGCTGATAATGTTGAGGCGCACATCAGGAAATTCATCCTTCAAAAGCGAGAGAAATATTGGAAGAAGTTGTTCAATAGTTGCATCCTGCAACAAAAAAAAATGATAAAGTTTAAAAAACTCCTAGATTCAATTTAAACTACTTACTAGTAATATGTGTTGCAAAGAGAATGGCAAAATAAGCTAAAACAACCAGATTGCGTAAGCCAAATTATTCTGCAAAGGAATCATAGCCATAAAATTAAAGGTCAGATGTCAGAGATGTCACTCATGACATCATTCTTGTGTAAAATAAATGACTTATAGGCATAACTCACTTATTCTTCCATAAGTTTCTCCAACAGAATCAATATACAACTCACAAAAATTCCTTGATACAGAATCATATTCCTAGCTCACAAGAATAGATGAATTCTATAATTTCTCCTACACTTGTGCACCTAGGAGTTACTGTGAATTCTTACCTTGCCTAAGACAGGAGCCATTCCCATTATAACAGAGGCCAAAGCAGAGCGAACCTGCTGGGAAGAATCTGATGACAATTCCTGCAAAAGGTAGTTTGCAATAATTAAGATAGAAAATATTAAAGGAAGCACAAAATACAGAGTGGTTTCTTTACCTAAAAGGAAGTTTTATATGCAAGAAAGAAACTCTTAACTTTTATGAACATTTATTTATATACCTTCACACAGGGAAGAATGTGTTGTATTGCAAGTTCAGGACTCAAAATTCTGCAGAATTTAGTTACTTTTCCAGCAGCTGCTATGCGCACTTCAGCCTCATTATCTCGAAGTAATCGAACATATGCAGGGACCAAGTCCATCCTTAAAAGACATCATCAGAAATCAAAAAGTTGAAAAGAAAAAGAAATCGAGACAGACAGACAGAGAATAACTAGTAATAAACATGCACAATAATCCCACGGTCAAGAGCACAGTTATTAAAAGAAACGTTAATAGTTTGTTTAAAGTAACCCTGGAAGATAGATGGCTAGTACTTGTCAAATAGACAGGATAAAATGCAATGAAACTAAACCAGTTGTGCCCATGCATGCATGACATTGTGGCAGAATAAACAATAAATGGATTAGCAAAATGGCCTTAAAATAAAAACATACTTTGTTGGCTCAGGTCCAACCGCCTCACAAAGTTCATATAACTGATTTGCAACCATATATCGAACATGCCAAGACTTATCCTGTCAGATATCAAAAATATAATCCACAAACATATAGGATCAGGAAAATAGCATCAAGATACACACTTTAAATCATCAAAATTTTACCTTGTCAAAAGCATTAGGAACATTCAATAGTGTATGTTCCTTAATAACCCTTATGGTCCTCAAAACTCAAACAAGGGAATACCCAAGAAACAAAATTTGCAAGAACAAAATACAAAACTATAAAGTACAAACCACAAACTCATTTACCTGGGAGAAATTGACAATAACAGGAAGAATGTGTGCAACGCAATCCTGGGGCTCCAACAACTTTCCAAAAGCAGCACAGCCCTCAATAGCCAATAGCTGAACAGAACGTTGATCTGAAATGTAATTTGTTTAGAAGCTTCATATATTAACTCAAAATAATTAAAAAAAACCCAAAATACATATTGTAGCATATATTAAATTACTTTGAGAAAAAAAAAAAAATTCACATATAGTAGCATGGCCACTCTAGACAACAATTTCCTAATTGTGGCTATAAGGGTCAACTAAGGCACTTGTTCCAAACATAAATATATAAGTTAGGGAAAGTACATAGCTATTGAAGGACCAGCACATAAAATAGCATCACTAAGCATGAGAAATGATGTTTACAGTTCACTGTATAAATCATTCACTAGTGATAGATAAATTTTCCTCAATTATGCATCTAAATGAATATCCCATTACCATCTTGTGTAAGATCCTCAAATATTTGCATGATATCAATCTTCAAATAAGCAGATTCAACTGTTGCAGCAAATTTCCCAAGGTTTGATGCTGCTGACCTCCTGACCATAGGCATGCCATCTTGACACAACTGGCTGTATGTTGACCTTAATTCTGTCTTTACGATCTCTGGGGCACTTGGATAGGCAATGTGAAACAGTCCACATGCAGAAACTCGTGCTGTAAACCATTCACCATCAGCCAGTCTCTGAAAATGAAAGGCTAAAACATGTAAAAAGAAAAGGAATAATGAAAATAGGATAGACAAATTTATAAAGAAGATGTGCAGTAAATCAGCATGTAGACAATAACATAAAGTTTACATAGGATTTTAATGTGGCTCACATTTTTAAGACAGACAATAGGAGGAAGTAGCATTAAAATATATTCTAAAAAGGAACAAGAAGCATCTTTAGGTTGTTATCTAACCTTAACTAGAGGAATAAATGAATCAACCAGGTCAGCCTCCCTCATCTGAGATCCAATTCTACACAATGACTCCACAGCTTTGTCCCTTACACAGGTTTCCTCAACAAAGCAAAGAGTCTCCAATGGTGGTAGCAGAACATGGGCATGCTCAACTCCCCCGACACAGGGAATAAACACACCCAACTCTTCAGCCATTGCAAGAAGCACCTCATCATCATCATCAT